CATTACTAGCATTACAAACCAATAAAGCAAGGTGGCTAGCTGAGGTAGCCACCCAACTAGGTATCAAACAACCGTGGATGGATCGGCCAGGATGCCGAACTAAGGGTGCCAACCCGATGAGGAGGTGACAAGTTGGCCATCTGAGGTGACTACCCGGCTGGGTACCAAATCATCATGAACAAGAAGTAGAGCCCCTTAGGGGGACTATATGGAGATTAAGTCCTCAGATAGGTTTGGTGGCTCCCTAATGGGGTACCAAGCCGACAGGGTGCAAGGTATCAACTTGATAAGATTGCATAAACTACTGCCGGCTTGGTAGCAAGGGTATCAAGCCGGCATGATTGTTCTTGGTACCAAGATGACAAGTTGGTGCAATGACAGTCTCTCTAAGACTAAGTGTGGAGACTTGTGGGGGGGGGGGGGGGTAAAGGAGCCAAGTTCTCGTCCTGTCTAGGTGGGTAATATGGCCTAGCTATCAAGACGGTTCATCGAGGTGGCTAGTAAGATGAGGAGCGTGGAGTCGTCAGGGCTATCGAAGATGTGATCAAGACTTCATCATGGAGGTTAAAGCAAAGAGGATCAACATCAACCCAGCCTAGCATCGAGACCATCAAATACCCACCAGCCCCAAGACGGGACAAGGGATCCCAAGCCGACATTAACAACTAGTCACCAAGGCGGTGACAAGAGGCCCCGAGGCGGTTTGGAGCAAGAGGTTAGCTAGCACTTACCAAGGCGGTTACCAAGGAAGTTACACCTAGTGGCTATAAATAGGAGAAACTAAGATTGTAAACAGGTTCCACAACCAAACATTTGACACCACATGTCAAACTTTATCCTTTTCTCAATGTAGCAATATTCGTATCTTTTAGTTTTTGGAGCTCTCACTGAACCTCCATAGGAGTAGGAGTAATTAATGTAGTTTGTCCCCAAAAAATCATCAAAAACATCAAACACCCGCGTTCGAACATTGTTCGGAGATGTGTGAACCGTGTTTAAAATCGTTGTTCAAAAAGGCAAAGGTGCAAAGCATTAATATCAAATACCAAGAGTTTTCCTAGCCGAAAAATAATTATTTTGGCCTTAATTGTTTACTCATATTCTCGTGTGGGATGGGAAAGGAAAGGATGAATAAGCTGAGTCGAGAGTTAACAGCATGTGAGAAAACAGAGTGATGAGCCTGGAAGGTGAAGGAAAGAGAGATGTCATTGCGTCATCATATGAAACTGTCTTTGTGGACTTCAAATAATTTTCTCGATTCGCAGCTAATTAAGCTACACTGTGTATAATATGTATACAGATGTCATGATGCGTAACATTGCTGGTCTCTAGCTTGTCCTTTTACTTCATCCCTGCATGCAGTTTGGCCTCTGTATCTGATCTCCAGATCATGCTGTCAACCGAAGATGATATATTTTCCATCCAAAGTATAGATAGGAGGCAGTTTTGCTTCTCGGTGACGAAATTCTAATTGTGGATGATGATAGCGTGAATGTGCTTTTTAATTTAATGGTACAAAACCCTAATTGTTTGGGGGCTGAGATATGAGATTAGCCAGGGTCAGGGTGAAGATGATACATGGAGTGTGCCATCTAATGATGACTATGATGACGAAGAAGAGGAAGAGGAGGAGGAGGAGGAGGAAGAAGAAGAAGAATAGCCTAGTTATCCTCCAGAATTTTACTTGCATGATAATGAAGAGTACAATGAATTATCATATGTTGATTCATATGCCGTAATTCTAATGCCTATTGTTGCTGGTTTCGAAAGAGAATTCTACAAGAGGCAGATATTTCACTCCAAAAAAGCTGCAAAGTTGGCGATTATATATCACGCACTACAACGCAACTTTCAGTATGTCGTGGTGGAGTCGACACCTTCAATCTGGAAGGTCAAATGCTTGAAGCACAAAGATGATAATTGTGCTTGGATGGTGCGGTTTGGATGTTGAGATGTTAGAAGCAAATAGACTGTGAGAAAGGCCTAGTTGATGCATTCGCGTAGCAGTACCACTCAACCGGCGGATCATCATCATCTTGATGTCGACGTTATATCTGAGCCTGTCAAGCGTTTGGTACGTGCCCAACCAAATTTGAGTGTTCGAACTATGCAGGCCGAGTTGAAAGATAAGTTTCATATGGAAGTTACTTACAAGAAGGTTTGGTGTGGGAAACAAAGAGCATTAGAGAAGTTGCATGGAAATTGGGAAGAATCCTACGATTATTTGCAAACGTTCTTGCGGGTGGCAAACATTTCTGACTGGATAACACTACCTCTGAAGTCCTGAGCCAAGCAATCCTAACGGAACCGCTGGAAAGATCAGTAGGAGCTCGTCTTAACGGTCCACACACGTCTCCGACCACTCCTCATCTGGTATATCTACTTTGACAGGAGCACCGTCGATCAGTAGACCGATCAGTGTTGCAACGTCCTCTAAAGTGATCGTAACCTCACCAAACGGCAATCGCTGACTCGGGTCGCAATGCTCAACACTACAGTTTGTACCTCTAATATGGTAAACTCGATCACCAGTTTATAGTGCACAAAACTTATATTAATTCAATATCATTCGTAATTCTAATTTCAGTTCACCTAGAAAATCTATCTAATCTAAACTTATACTAATTTCAAGACATTTCATACGCAATTATATTTCAGTTCAGCTAGTAAAATATATCTAATCTAAACATCTATCTAATCTAAACTTATACTAATTTCAAAAAAAATTCATACGTATTATTATTTCAGTTCACCTAGTAAAATCTATCTAATCTAACTAGCTAATGAACTTTAAAGAAAATTTGTTATGAAAGACATACCTCATTTGCCCAAACTGTGTCAGCACCGTGTTGACCATGTGCCCAAAGAAGTACTGAATCGACCGGAGCTGTATCAATTGTCGCAGATGGTCGCCTCATTGAATAATTATCCAAAATTCTAGGAGCTGAAAACAACAGAATAGTAACAACTCGCCGCCGGCGAGAATCTAGGCGCCGCCGGCGAGGAACTTTACCTCAGTACCGGCCGCTGCCACGGCCACGAGCTCGCCAACCTTTTCCACGACCCCTTCCTCTTTCAGCGACCTCTTCGTCGGAATGGTCGGAGTCTGACATCCTCCTATGAATCTGGTGCTAGGAGGCTCGCGTGAGAAAATGGAAGATATGAGGAGGTTCTGGCGGGTCCGCGTAAGCTGTGGGTAGGAGGAGTAATCGTGACGCGGGTCCGCGTTAGCTGGTGGAGGGAGGAGAAAGGATGTGGCGGGTCAGCTGTGGCTGGAAGAAAAAGGAGGAAGGGGGAAACTTGTACGCGCGAGGTGGATATAAGTGATGGTGGGTTGGTCTGTTCGAGTAAGGTAGGTGGGAGAGTGTTTAAAAATATGAACTATAACTGAGATGGAGTTAGTCAAGTGACTAAGAACCTCCCTTAATCACTACATCTAAACCAGACGACCATACATATAATTTAGCCAATTAGTTTTACCAAATATATAAAAGGAAAGTATGGATTAGGCCGAATTTAGCATACAAAATGTTTAAGTTTTTTTAGAAGGGTTAATACCTTAGTTTGGCCCGAACTATACACAAAATTCTACTTTGGCCCGAACTATACATAAAAAATTATACTTTGACCCGTGGTTTCAAAAATTGTTTTTCTGGCCTGAACTATGTACCATACTTCATTATTTGGCCCGGAGGCGGATTTGACCGTCAAATTGAATGGTCAACGGAGTTTACCATTAGTCAATGATCAGCTCACATGCCACGTCAGTGAGCAGAGAAATATGAAATTAATTTTTAGATTTTTTGTATTCTTTTTCCTTTATTATAATAATAATAATAATAATAATAATAATAATAATAATAATAAAATCTTGAAACAGCAAGAAAAGATAAAGTTATGGCTGGGAAACCCCATAGCCTCATCCACACACACTCCTCAGCGTCCATCCGGCGAACCAAATCCCTAATTATTTGTGCTCCACACAATCCAGACGGCGAGAGAGTACAATCCGCCATTTTTCACACTGCACAGGCGACAATCCGAAGCAACACAGTCGCCATCCCCAAAGGTGAGAGAGCACTTGAGATGAGTTGTTCTTGTGCATCCTCCGCCGCAGCTCCCGCGGCGGCCGTTGTTGGCCTTTTGTCTTCTCAGCGCCCCAACGCGACTCTCTCACCTCTCGCTCTCCCTGCTGTTCGCTCTTCGTCTCCCGCGATAACAACCGTGGGTGCCAGATGGAGGAAGCATCAGCGGAGGCAGCGGGTATGCTGCGAAGTGGCGGTCCGATTGTTGAGCGATTCGGAGACGTCGTCGGAGCATAGGATCGGAGCGAGGGTACGGGTGACGGCGCCACTGAAGGTGCACTACGCGCCTCGCGTGCCGGAGGTGGATCTGATGGGGAAGGATAGGGTTTCGGGGAAGAAGATGGGTTTGGACGATTGAGGAAATTATTTCCCGTTGCGGGGGATAAGGTGAGAGGAGAGGGGAGGGGATAATTGAGGGTTTTAATTTATTATTATTACTATTATTAGAAATGAAAAATAATCTAAAAATTCTAAAAATAATTTTTTATTTCTTTGCTGACATGGCAAGTGAGATGGTTATTGACTCAACTCTATTGATCGTTCAATTTGATGGTCAAACCCACCTGTGGGCCAAATAAGGAAGTATGGTACATAATTTAGATCTGAAGAACAATTTCTAAAACCACTAGCTAAAGTAGAAAGTTAAATTATCTTAATAACAATTTCTCAAACCACTAGCTAAAGTAGAAAATTTGTATATAATTCAGGCCAAACTAAAATATTAACCTTTTAAAAAAGCCACGCTTGAACTATAAGTGAAATGACTTACTAAAGGCCCAACGAAGCCGATGAAAACTACCTTCTCAACTCCCTCCTTTCCGCACTGAAGCCCAATTCCTTAGACATAGAAAAGCCCATAAAGCATATACAAAACGAGAAAGAGAGAAAAATTGTAGGCAGCAAGCAACTGTGAATTCAGGCGCTCCTTGCTTCCGCTTCCAGGAAGGCGTTGAATTCCTCCCTCGCCTTTCGCAACCGGGGCGTGATGCACGCCGCCGGCGACGAAGGATTCGAAGTCGAAGACGACGACGACGAAGAAAACCGGACGTGCCTGGAAGACGACTCGTGAGACTTCCTCCGCGCCGAACAGCTCTTCAATGCCCCTCTCCGGTCCTTCTCGAACACAAACGCCGACGCCACCGGCGAGTTAGTCCCGTTCCCGCCGGTCTTTATCAGCTCCATCGGCAAATCGTAGTAAAAACGCGTGGACTCCTCCCCTCCGTCGTTGATGAACGCCGACGAAGCCCACGAACCGCACTCGAATTTCTCCAGAGACACCGTCCTCGAAATGACGCTCTCCCTCACCACCGCCGTCGCCGCCCCCGATTCCACCGTCGCCTTCCTCTCCCTCACCGGCTTCGTCGTCTTCCCGACGCCGCCGAATCCCGGGAGGTACAAACTGCAGAGCGCGCCACATTTGAATTCGTCATCATCGTTGTCCAGATCCACCTCGCGTTTCTTCTTCCCGGCCGCTGGCGAGGAGTTGGCGCCGGATTCGGTGGTGGTGGTGGGTTCGCCGGGATTCCTGAACCAAATGTCGAGCTCGTCGACCCCGCTCGATCTCCCTTCGGCGCACGACTTGCTCCGCCGCAAGTGAATTTCTTGCTCCAGCTTGAGCAGGGGATGGTTATGACGATGACGGGGGGAGGCCTCGCTTTCATTCTTGAATTTCTTCTTCAGCCAGTACCCGAACCGCGGGGAGCTGGGAAGGCTGCAGCTGGTGAGAGGCGGCGGCGGCGGAATCTTTGGAGCCGCCGTCACAATCGGCGGCGGTCTCAGCGACACCGGGTCCACGGAAATCTGTTTCTCCATTTGCTGCAGGTCGTGGAAACGCTCGGCCGTTTTGCAGACATCGAACTCGAGATCGTACTCGTACATTCCAATTCCACTCCTGCTGTGGAACATTTTCCCCGGGAGTTAGAGAGCGCCAAATCAGAAGCAACGAGAGCCATGAAACTGGTTTTTTATACGGTGTGTGCACAATGGAATTTTTCAAGACGTGGGCGCCATGTCCGCCTGAGTTGAGCAGCAGTTGTGATTTTACATGTTTTCAAATAGTTAGTAGCGGCACACCACCCATGATTAAAGTATAAAGGTGAAAGAGACAAATAGTTGAGGTTTTGCGTATAAGCATTGACTTTCCATATACAAAAAAAAATGTAGAAACTGCAGAGAATTGTAAAATAAGATTACTACCACTGAAATACCGATGATGACAGGGAAAGAAGAGAGTGTTTAAGATCTATACCTGTGTTTGTGACCCTTGCGTACAATGATTTGGACGGCTTGCTCTCTTCTTTGATACCTCCACCTATTTCAAAGATTGGGATCATAAGATGAAAACGAAATCGTCAAGGAAGAGGTTCTTGCAGCTATCCGGCTAACCAGCAGCGATACATCAAATACTGGCACATAGTCATGCAATAAGAGAATGTCACAATCCCATTTCTTCCAGTCAATATTATACAGAGTGTCCCAGGCTTGAATCTTGGATCTTCGCCCGAATCCTTATAGTTCTGACTTCTGAGGCTTTTACACCAAGCTATTCTGGGTTATGTGATGTGACATTTCTAATAGGCCAATTTTTCTTTATGGAAGTAAGTTAATTACCTCTAAATTAGGCCAATTCGCCATTTCATCTCCTAGCATTCGTAGTGCCAAGCGATTTCTGGGAACCTTGCCCTCATCGAGCTGAGACGAAAATGATTGTTATAACTGCGTTGCTATAGATCGGAAAATCGCTGGAATCGAGAAAACAAGAATACGAAAGCAAGAATCGAAAACAGAAACACGATTTACATGGTTCACTAACACAATGTGTGTTAGCTAGTCAACGGGCAGGAGAGAGACAGTTTCACTATATCGAGAAGATTACATATTACAGAGGAGATGAGAAGTATTTACTTAGGTTACTGATTCGTGAAGCGGGAGCGAGAGCGTGAGAGTGCTTATTTTAAAAGTATTATATAGTCAGAGCGTTCATAGAGCATTAATATTATATTATTTTAATTAAAATATTATTTAATTTGCTACCAACAATTTGACAAATTACTACCACACATAGAAAAAATAAAATAATAAACCACTTTGTAACTGACCGTATACACCCTATCCAAAAAAACAAAATAAGAAAGCTAATTTCATTGGACTTCATTACCCAAACCAAAAAGGAAAAACTAAAATCAAAGCTAAAGAATCTCCCCATTAATATGTACAACCAGTAAAACGGTCAAACATATTTGTATTGGGCCCAAATATGACAGATAAATGCCTGAGGCCTAATTCCTCAACTAACCTACTCCAACTAAAAAATCGGCCACAATCCCATACCCCTCCTCCCCTCCTAGCAATAGCCTACCTCTGGATTCCCTTACAGAAACAGAGTCTATCTACTTTGATCTAGAACTCTCCTCACTACACTGCAAATCCCCTCCACAAATACCTTCCTCCTGGGAAACAGGAATGGCAATGGGGCAGGTCCGGGGCGGGTATCTTGATACCCATACCCGCCCCATGGCAGGTCGGGTCCAGGTCGGGTAATTTATTACGGGGCGCGGGTCGGGGCAGGTCGACCCATTGGGTATGTAATTTATGCGAAAAACATTAGAAATATTCGTTCTTTTCATTGAAAGACCAAGAAAGAAACCATAATATGATAAAATGTAGTTAAATTATTGAAGAAATTGAGGTTTTCACTTATTTACAACTTTATTATAGCTAAAATATAATGTAATAAGAGGAAAATCTTAAGTAATTTCACTAAGATTATATGTAATTTAGGCAAGAACGGGTCGAGAATGGGGCGGGTCAGGGCAGGTCGGGTAGATGAGAGGTACCCATGCCCGCCCCGCCCCGCCTACGGGCGGGTTTGACCCGCCCCAAAACAGGTCAAACAGGTCGGGTAAATCGGGTCAGGTCGAAATTGCCATCCCTACTGGGAAAGTCTTTCATCTACACACTACATTTTTTCAGCTTCTTCAAACGCAGACGAGCTTTCTCTGAATCGTAGGCAATTCAGCTTGTGTAATGTGTTTATCGACCAAAATCATCCCCGCAAGTTTCAAGATCTGCAAATCAATAGCGTCCTTTAAGATGATGCATGCAGAGACTCCAACCTCCTCTTGACTTCCTCCATCAACCCAACCATCAATTTCCTCTCCTTCACCAAATCAGCGATAACCATTGCCAAAGCTTCATCTTCCTCTGTCCCAGTGAAATAAAGTCACGAATTTTGTAAAGAAATTCGCGCTCCAACAACAAATAAATCGCGGTTTTTTAGCGAACTCCTTTGAATTCGCGTTTTTGCGCTCCCGAGCGGGAGCTTCGAGCCCTATATAACGAATTGTATGACCTAAGTATTTATACTTCTCCATGTGGGTCTATACCTAATCCAATCTGATAAAGGAAATGGTTACAGACCAGGCCCAAAACTAAAAACCCAAACGTGTATCGACCCATACACCGTGGATCCGGGCATTGCCCCTGAACCCCCCTGATCGGGGCGTTGCCCCTGGATCCCACTCGCTGGCCGGGTAGCGAGACCCCCGTGACTTCCAGTCGTAGCGGTTGATAGTCCGATTCAAGTCACATCAACAAATCTCCACCTTGACTTGAATCCTCTTTCTCTGAAATCTCTGATGCACTTTGCTCCTTGTCTCTCTCCTACCATCAATGCCCTGTAGGGCGGAGTCACCCACTCAAGACATTCGGCAAGTCCAATCAGTGTTGGAACTTGCCATGTGGAACCGGCTTCGTGAACATGTCGACAGGATTATCCGCGGTGCCAACCTTCTTCACCTTAATCTTCTTCTCTGTTCTCAAGAATGATACCTCACGTCGATGTGCTTAGTACTCTCATGATGGACTTGATCCTTGCCAAGCATATTGCACTCAAACTGACGCAATACACCACTGCTTGATCATGATATAGACACAGATCACCAACCAGTCCCTTCAACCATATTCTCTCCTTAGCAACTTCTATCAGCGCCATATACTCTGCCTCAGTAGTAGACAATGTCATCGCCGACTGCAAAGTTGCCTTCCAGCTCACTACAGAACTCCCAAGAGTGAATACACAACCGGTGATCGATCTCCTCGTGTCAACATCCCCAACATAGTCCGAGTCTGAATACCTAGACACCACGCACTCTGTATCACTTTCGAAGCTAATCCCCACATCAGATGTAAGGTACTGGAAGATCCTCTACACAGCCTGCCAATGCTCCTTCCCAGGTTGTATCATGAACTTGATGACAACACTAACAGCATGTGCAAGATCAGGTCTAGTGCATACCATAGAGTACATCAAGCTACCTACTGCACTAGCATATGAGACTCTCGACATGTACTACTTCTCAGCCTCTGACTACAGTGCATAAGCTGAGGATAGATGAACATTTGAAGTACTAGGAGTATTCAAGGGCTTTGCTGAAGACATACCAAACCTTGACAGTATCTTCTGAATGTAGCTCTTCTGTGACAAGAAAAACTTCTTCTTCAACCTATCCCTCTAAATCTCAATACCCAAGATCTTCTGAGCAGCTCCCAAATCATTCATCTCAAACTCAGCACTGAGAAGCCTCTTTAACTTCTGGATATCAGACTTCGACCTCGCAGCTATGAGCATATCATCCACATACAGAACAAGATAGATCATCGAACCATCCTCCACTTTGCTGTGATACACACAACAATCATATGGACTTCTGTTGTAGCCCAGCTCAAGCATGTAACTGTCAAATCTCTTGTACCACTGCCTCGAAGATTACTTAAGTCCATACAAGGACTTCTTCAACTTACAAACATAGTCTTCTTTCCCTGGAACCTAGAATCCTTCTAGTTGAGTCATGAAAATTCTTCCTCGAACTCTCCATGTAGGAAAGTTGTCTTCACGTGTAGCTGTTTGAGCTCCAAGTCATAATGTGCCACTATTGTTAGTAGCACCATGATCGACGTATGTCTGACCACTGGTGAGAAAATTTCATTGTAGTCAACTCCTTGCCTCTACAAGAAGCCTCGTGCAACCACCTGAGCTTTAAATTTAATGCCCTCTTTAGAAGTGATTCCTTCCTTCTTCTTGTAGATCCACTTGTTTGTAACAATCTTCCTTCCCTGTGGTCATTTGACTAGCTCCCAAGTCTGATTCCTATCATGGGATTCCATCTCATTTCCCACTGTGACAAGCCACTGATCAGCTTCGCCATACAAAACGTCTTCTCTATAGGATTGTGGTTCACCTAATCACCTGCATCCACTTCTTCAACAACTTGAAATGAATACGTCACCATATCTTCAAAGCCATACCTCTCTGTTGGTATTCCTGCATTCACTCTCTTCGGTCTACCGGAAGCCATAGATTATAGAGCTCGTGCACTCGACTCTGAAGTTCCTGGCTCTGCAGAAACATCCTCATGTTGATCTTCTCCAACTTGGTGCTCAACTCTCTCTCTTTGAGATTTTGCAGCTCCACCTGCTTATCAACATTCCTGCTACCTTCAACAACAGTAACCTTCAACATGGGGTTAAACATAGACTTCTCATCAAATATCACATTTCTACTAAGTATAACTCGATGCTCAAAAGGTGACCAGACTGAAATCCCTTAACTCCATCTCTGTAACCCACAAATACATTCTTCTTTGCCCTTGGGTTCAGTTTACCCTCGAGTTTAGTTTATCCTCATCCACATGATAATAATCAGGACACCCAAAAATTTTCAGTGAAGAGTAATCAGCAGGCTTACCATACCACACTTCATAGGGAGTCTTACACTCGATACTTGTGTGAGGTCCACGGTTGATCAGGAAGCACGCCATGTTTACTACTTCTGCCCAGAATCTTCTCTCTAGTCCAATATTAGAGAGCATGCATCGTGCTCTCTCCAATAATGTCTGGTTCATCCTTTCTGCAACGTCGTTCTGCTGGGGTGTATCTCTAATGGTCCGATGACAGGCAATCCCTTCATCCTTTAGAATTCGTTGAACTCATAACTGCAAAACTCCATACCATTGTCCACCAATGTCTTCCACTGCTTCTTGATCTTCTTCCCAGTTTGATTCTCCACCAATGTCTTTCACTGATTGAACTTCTTGAAAGCCTCACTTTTCTGTTTTATCATGAAAAATCCAAGTACATCTCGAATAATCATCAATAATAGATAGAAAATACCTGCTGCCTCCAATGAATTCAACTCGTGAAGGACCCCAACAGTCGGAGTGGAGGTAATCTAGTATCCCCTTTGTCTGGTGGATACCTTTCTTGGGAAACTTGCTGCGATGTAGCTTCCCAAACACACAATGCTCACATAATTCCAAATTCTACACCTTGTACCCGCAAAGAAGATCCCTCTTCGACAGAACTTGCATCCCCCGTTCACTCATATGACCCAGTCTCATGTGCCAGAGAGTAGTCATATCTTCCTGATGAACCTGAGACGATGCAACTATAGCAGAACCTGACAACACATTTTCTTGTAATGCATACCAGGTACCACGTGTAGTCGTCGGGCCCGTTAAACAAGCGGGAGAGGTCAAAGCCAGAGGGGAAAAAATCAAGTCGAACGCACTGATGCTGCGCTCGCTGCCGCCAAAGTCGAAATCCTCCACCTCCTGGCAGTAACTCGTCTCCTTGTAATCCTTGTTGAACCAGGGGTCGTGCTGGATTTCGTCGACGATGATCCTCGTCTCCGGATTGGTGTCGGGGAGGAGGAACAGGAAGTTGGCGAAGCTCGACAAGGTCCATTTGGGGTAACGAAACTGGCCTTTATAAATCTAATTGTCATGAGTTGTTGTCGTTGAAAGGCAAGTAGCCGTCGATGAGGACGAACAAAATGACTCCTCAGGACCAGATTTCCACCTTGGCCCTGTGATAATTTAGGGTTTGAATTTTTTAATTAATATATTTGGGAGATAAAATAATTAAAACCTAATTATAGTGTTTAGGAGTAAATGAGGGGCAATTGCGTCATTTAACAACTCTTTTAATGGTCACTTAAAGGATAATTGGATGCAAGGGTAAACTTGTTACGTTTTAATATTATAAGGGTATGTTCGTGAAAAATTTAGTATAAAGGCACGTATGTTAATTCATCATAGTAGAGGGGTTTTTTTTTTGTTAATACCTTAGTTTGGCCCGAACTATAGACAAACTTTCTACTTTAGCCCGTGGTATCGGAAATTGCTATTCTGGCCTAAACTATGTAGCATACTTTCTTATTTGGCCCGGAGGCGGGTTTGACCGTCAAATTAGACGGTCAACCGAGTTGACCGTTAGTCAAGGTCCACCTCACTTGCCACATCGGCTATTAAGGAATAAAAAATTAATTTTGTATTTTGAATTTTTTTTACTTTCTAATAATAAAAATAATAAACGAAAAAAATTAATTAAAAAAGCTCCCAAATTATTTTTATTTAATTTTAGAAAGTAAACAAAACTAAAAAATTCAAAAAAAATAATTTTTTATTCCTTGATAGCTAACGTGGCAAGTGAGGTGGACTTTGACTAACGGTCAACCAAGTTGACCGTCTAATTTGACGGTCAAACCCGCCTCCGGGCCAAATAAGAAAGTGTGCTACATAGTTTAGGCCAGAATAGCAATTTCTGATACCACGGGCCAAAGTAGAAAGTTTGTCTATAGTTCGGGCCAAACTAAGGTATTAACCCTTTTTTTTTTGCGATGTGAGTGGGGTACAAAATGATATTAAATCAGTATAATTCTTTGGGAATGATATTAGCTCTTTGGGAATCGACTCTCGAAACTATATGGTTGTTGTTTTGCAGGTTTTTTGTGGGCTTAGCAGTTTCTACAACTTTTGACGTGCGTCTAGCGGCAACGTCAATATATTCCCTATTTTCGGACTCATCCATATCCAAAGGATGCATTGGCGTCGGACGTTGTATCTGCTCTGCTTCAGTTTCGATGAGTTCGATCCATAACTTTCTCCCTGCAAAGGGTTGTAGTTAGATTATGGATTTTGCTTATTACGTAAAGATAATTATAGGACTGCCCATTTCGTAGCATCAAGATCCTATTTCGTCAAGACCTAAAAAGGTCTTTTCCTTTCTTATTGTTGATTTGACATGAAAAGGTCGTGTTCATTGTAATATGTATCTAGGGATGGCAATTTACCCACCCATGGGTAATTTTGCCCAAACCCAAGTAGACCCATTTATTATGGGTAGGGTTTGGGTGATGTGTGTATGGGTTTGGGGTTTGTATATGGGTTTGGGTTAGATATGGATATTATCTAAATGGGTATGGGTTGGATATGGATATCCATTTACTTGAGGGTGTTTTAACTACACATGCAAAAATTGGACTTATTTGTAAAACTTGAAAATTTTAGGTACCAAAATGTAAGACCAAAAAAATTTAGGTACCAAAATGTAATTTTCCATCGATATTTTGAGGACTTATATGCAAAAAAAATTTAATTTAGGTACTAAATATGCATATCTATTAAGTTTAGGTACCAAACTGTAATTTATATTTGGGCATGGGTACAAACCCAAATCCATTTGTTATAAACCCAACCCAACCCAAAGTAAATGGGTATGGGTACAAACCCATCAAACTTTACCCATATCCATATATTTGGATTTCATACTCAATCCAATTGGGTTGGATAGTAAAATACACATGGGTATGGGCAAAATTGTCATCCCTAATGTATCTGCTCTTCTCTTTGGGAATATCTATGGAAAAAAAAAAAAAATCGACTCTCGAAACGGAAGCGATGTAGTGGAGTACCGACTACAAGTGGGCTTTTGATGTAGGTTGGGCCCAGTCTTCTTAAATCAGTAGTCCTCTTAACTCGTCAGAACCTCATAAGTCTATTATATCTCAAGCATTACCGCCGGAATCTGTCTGTCTTATACCTCCGCCGCCGGAAGTCTCGCCGTGCTGAGAGAACTGTGCAATCCGAATAATCCCTCTCTCCTATTTGTTTGGTCTTGGGGTCTTGTTTCTTCGATTGATCTTTTCTTTCGCACTCCACCTGTTCGACAAAATACTCAGCCTAGAGAAACCCCGCTGAACCAAAACCGCCAAATTGAAGGGAAAAATTTACGAAAGATGAATCAATCGAAGGATCCCTTCGAGGCTGCGTACGAGGAGCAGGAAGAATCCCCGCCTGATTCACCGCTTGCCCCTGCCGACTTCGACCGCCGACCAGCTTCTCCTCCTTCCGCTGCTGCACCCGCTTCTCAGAACGCAGCCACCGCCCCAGATGACGAAGAAACCGACCATGTCAATCCTTCCGACCCTTCGCCTTCGGCTCCCGCCTCGGCCTCCGCTAAAATTAAGGGCAAGAGCAAGGAGGAAGACGAAGATGAAGAGGAGGAGAACATGGAAGTTGAGCTAGCTAAGTTCCCTGCAAGTGGCGACCCTAATAAAATGGCCAAGATGCAGTGAGTTCTTTCTTCTTTAGGTTTCTCTTTCATGCCCTCTCATTCTCCCTCGTTGAATTTGATCACGAACGTAAGAGGGTAGTTGGCTATGTCCAGCACAGGTTCAACTGCATTGTTGTGGTATGGCTTACAACTGGCTCCCAGTATGAACCAGAACCATCTTGATTAGTTTCTGTTCTCTGAAAGATTTGTTATGGCTTACAACTGTCCCCGAGTAGGAACGATTCTGTTCTCTGAAAAGAATTGTGAACTACTACTTCAAATGCCTTGTCGAGCTCTACACTACATGGATTGGTTCAAGCCAGCCCCGAAATTATGATTGCCGAGTTGGTGGAGTATTCAGTGTGTAAGGAGGAATGAAAGATGCATCTATCTGATTCACTTTGCTTTCATGTTTCAGAACTATTCTATCACAGTTCACAGAAGACCAGATGACTAGATACGAATCGTTCCGGAGATCTGCCCTTCAGAAGGCTACCATGAGAAGGGTATGTGCCCATTCTGTTATTCCTTTTGATCTGCAACTTCCTTTCCAGATACTTTGAACTCTAGATTGCTGTCTCACTTTCCGTGCCTCGCTCCACTTAGCTATACTGAAACCTATTAAGTCATTCACTAGACATCTACATGTTTCATGGAGACTTTTTGATCTCCCTTCACTTGAATTACTTCTCAACAACCCCTTTCGTTGAGGTCTGCAGGAGTAAAGTTCATTTTGTCTCTGCTAGTTTATATGAATCTTTTTTTGTGGCTCCCAAGTGTCTGGTATGCTGTCAAAACATTATCAAGGTCACTGCAAATACATCTTCTATGCCATTGATCGAGTTTTAGTTGATTCTTTAATGCTGCTGATTAACCCATGAATCTTCCTGTTTTTGCCAATTGCAGTTGTTGGTAAGCATTACAGGGTCACAAAAGATTTCTATGCCAGTAACCATTGTAGTTTGTGGGATAGCCAAAATGTTTGTCGGTGAACTTATTGAAACAGGTATGGATAACGCGTACCGCTTTAGTTTATCAGACAGATAAGTTACTTCAGTGTTCGTAGGACAGTAAGTTCCCATAGTTGGCGTTTCAAAAGATTAGAAATCTTTCAGTTGATTTCGTTCTACCATATCTGTTGGGGTGAATTTCAATGAACTAACCCTATGGTGTGTTTCCATATGTGTTTGTAGCAAGAATGGTGATGACAGAAAGAAATGAATCTGGACCAATAAGACCTTGTCACATTAGAGAATCGTATAGACGACTAAAGCTCGAAGGGAAAGTACCAAAAAGATCAGTGCCAAGGCTCTTCCGTTAGATCCGTTTGGACGCTGACTTGCTGGTCGATTGTTCACGTTTTCACTGATTAAAGGTCTCCAGGTTACAACTTATAAATCAGTTCCCGCACAATATTGTTTCCTATAAGCTTTCAATCAATATGCAAACATATGGAATGGTGGGGTTCTTATTCCTTGTAGCTTGGCATTTATTATTTCAACCTATCATGACTGTGGGAGGCAAGTGTTTGATTCAGCATGCCATGGAAAGCAAAGAGCGACTGTTTTTGCAATTAGTTATAGTCTACTGGTGATGGGCAATTGTTCTGTAAATATGATTCGCCGCTGGTGATTAACTGAGTGTTTTAGGAATTTGATAATCGTAGTGGGGCTAGTGGCATTCTATCCGGGTTCCGTAGGCTAAAAATCTCCGGCTTGGTTTGTGCATAATGGAAAACAGTCATTTGTGGACATTGGTTGATGATGCATCGATGCTAGAAGCATAGAGTTATCGTTCTGTTCCTGCTGTTTCTTGCCATTTATGTCAGCCTTCTTGTTGGTGATACAACACATGAGCATCTATCTAAGATTTACCTGTCCATAGAGCTTGGTTTCTGCATTGGATTAAGAGACGGATACAGAAGACGGCGCATTATTAGTTTAGATTCAACCGAGTCTGCCTTTTTGGTCTCTGTCAGCGTTTCTGTTCATTGGTACTTTGTCAGAAACGGGAAAGGGAGAATCTAGGGGTGTTCTGGGTTGAAAGAGAGTGGTTATCGTGGTAATCATTTTAATTATTAGTATTTGGATAATTTTGATAATTGGTTTAGTTTGGTTAAATTTTTTAGCTTATTTGGTTTAGGTAATTTGGTTTGGTTTTAGATATGTCAGATGTATACTATACGTCAGGTACTACTAGTGAGATATCTCTATTTAGACCATGAATTAAATCGAGTTTGGGGTATGATACTATACCCTAACCTCTAATGGATAAACCCCAGGCACCGAATCAACCAAACCGATTAAATTTTAGTTTGGTTAATATGACATACCAAACACAGGAATTCATTTGACAATGAATTCTACATCGCAATTTATTGTATTTCTAAAGATTTGAATATGACATACCAAACACAAGATTTCATTTGAGAATGAATTCTACACGGTAATTCATTTTACAATGAAATGAATTCTTGATTTATTTGGTACCAAACAGTCTGTAAGAGACTAAATCAATTCACATAAAACACAACAATTCATTAACCTCGTACCACTTACATATATTTTTATTAAGTGAATACTTTTATTAATTGTGAGATAATTCTATTAGTTACATGTATTTATGTTACGGGTTAACAATAAGTATGTGTTGATTGCTATGTGTTATTCATTTTATAAATTGCAAATTGATGCATTAGCCAGAAAATTTTCTCGATAATGTGATCTTATATTGGTTTTTCTAGTTAACCAATCAACTAAACCGATTAAATTTTAGTTTGGTTAATATGGTTGTTGTATTAGTAGTTTGGTTAATATGGTTGTTGTATTAGTAGTTTGGTTATGATATTAAATTTCAAAGCTAATAGAATTTAGACGTATTTGGTTTGATAATTACCATTGTAATAATTTGAACACCTCTAGAAGCCTCATTCTTATGAAGAAAGACATCGTTGTTTCTAGATTCTTTTTATGTAGTCAAGGACGAAGCCAGAGTCTTCAACTTTATTAACCCTCTCAAGGAGGAAAAATCGAGGATGTGGGAAATTCAGGGAGAAATGGAAGGATTCAAAACTTTTTCCTTGTACATAAATTTTCTGAATGGCTAAACGTCGCCCTACTTTTACTTTATCGCCCTAATTTAAAAATGGAAATTACGATAATCGCCCAAGAGAAACCAAACGTATCCCAACAAAAATTAAGGAACCTCCTTCCTTCAATATCGTCAACGTCTTCCGCCGACCACCGCCACCCAATCCGCCGCCGCAGATCCTCCCTTCAAAATGGTCAGCATCCTCCGCTGTTCTCCTCTGTCGCAAAGGAGTTGTTCCACCGATAAAAAAGCCGACGACCCTTTTAACCTAACCGGTCATGTCTCAGGTGACGGCCGCCAACCTTTGCTGTTCTGTTACCCATATTTTGGTGATCGGAGATGGATGGGGTTCCAGTTGGCTGGGTTTATGTTTAGAGTTGGCTGGGGGATAAGTTTTTCAATTTGTTATTTTGGTTTAATAACTTCATAATGTATTTTATTGATACGACGGCAACGGAAGCTGATTCCGGTGGCGGTTAAAGGCGATGGCGGCTGATAGGGGCGACAAATGGCCAGTTTTTTATTGATTGTATTTGCTAAAATAATAAAATATATCCTAAATAGAAAAGGAAAAGGATAAATAAGTCAATTTTATTTTTAATTTAGGGCGATTGCAGTAAAGGTAGGGCGACAAATAGCAATCCCATAAATTTTACCATCGCAAGACGCAAAGAGAAGTAATTATTTGGAAAAAGTTATTATAACCGTTATCGCTCAATTTTGAGCAAAAATAAATTTTGTCTCTTATTGAATATCGTATTCAATTTTCACTATGCAATCAAGGCACATAAAGTGGATCCAATGTTGAAACTTTCAGGATACCAGGATATTATATTCCATTCCATTTTCTACACCACACCAACCCACGAATCAGTCCAAAATCTCAACATAGATAAAATCCAAACCTTTGGCTAGTTTCAAAGTTCTCAATCCAATGATACGGAGTACTTCATTTCAATCAATTTAATAAAAATAAAATAATTATAACACATCTAGTTCATTTTATCTAATCATTAGGGGCAACAATACAATCTCGTCTCACTTAGAGAAAGCAAAAACATTGGTGGCCTATTCTTCCAAAATTCTATCCTTACGAGTTACATAGATGGAGGGTGGGTCAAAAACTGGATCCGGTTAGGTGCTAACACATAATTTGTTAATGCTCTGTTTAGAAAGAAGAGAATGATTAGTATAAGATAATTTGTTAATGAAATATCGTTTCTCAACTGTAATAATTAGTATAAGATAAGTAACAATAGGAACAACGAAGAAAGAAGATGAATCAACTTACTCCATTTGAATCTCAGTTTCAGTTGGATCTTAGTATGTTGAGAACTTGGTGGGCTTATCTCGTGGACTTAACTTGCGACGAACATTACCTCGGGATTTTTCCAGAAATAGCACTCTTTAAAAAAAAATCAAAAAATAGCATCCAACTCCGAAAAATTCCAAAAATAGTACTCTTTCCTAAAAAACCGCCACCAGTACCAGCGGTTTAGGCGAAAACCGCCACCCAGGGGCGCATTTTTCGATGAAAACCACACTGGTAGGGAGCGGTTTTGCAAACCGCACCACCACCATGCCGTCTGTTTTTTTTTTTTTTTTTTGAAAAATCCTAACCTAGGTGGAAACTTCAAACGAACGTATCTTTCTGTTCAGGTATCCGATCGTCGCGATTTTTTTTATTCCACACAACCTTTTGAGATCTTGCAAGCCGAAGACTGCCCAAGGTGGTTTGGTCCCGCCTTCGTCCCAAAAAATGTCGTTTGCTACCCCGAACGAGGTTTTTTCCGATTTCGTCAAACTTTGGACAACCATAACTTTGTGCTCCAAAATCCAAACGACATGAATTTTTTCGCATAAATTTTTAAGGAATACAACTTTTATCATAGACATAGTTTCGAAATGTACGTGGATTTCTGAAAAGGGAAGGTAAGCTATTCCCAAAATCCTGTATATCCAAAAAGCGGGCGCAATATTTTCGAAATGTACGTTCGAATTTTGGAGCACAAAGTTATGGTTGTTTAAAGTTATTGAGCTCCAAAATCCGAACTTCAAGATTTTTTTTTCATTTCGCATAACTTTTTAAGGGCTGCAATTTTACTAGGATGAACGCGCCCCGGGTGGCGGGTTTCATCGAAAAACGCGCCATCGGGCGGCGGTTTTCGCCTAAACCGCTGGTACGGGTGGTGGTTTTTGGGAAAGGGGGCTATTTGAAATTTTTCTCAGTTGGGTGCTATTTTTAAAAAAAAAATCTAAACAGTGATATTTCTAAAAAAATCCCCATTACCTCTAAAGCTCAGGTTAACATATTAGCCCACACTTCAAACACTAGTTTGTTTCCTGTCAGGATCTGAATGATCAACTCATTCAACCAAGAAAAGAGCACTAGCAAACCAAAGACAATATGGAGAGCAAGTTAGACATAGGACAACGCGGCACGAAGATGTTTTATTAATTAAGTTCTTCCTTGTGACATTACGTTTCGACTCATAGGTGACTCACCCTTTAAGACCTAATTTTCTAACTTTTTCTTCTTATTCTGATTTCTAACTTTCAGCTGAGTTCCTTTGTGTGGAACTCAAACCCTTGACATAACAAAGCTAAGTACAACTATCTTCCTCACCCAAAAGCTATATATAAATCTGAAGTTGAGTTACTGTTGCATAATTATTCACATTTTGATATCACAAATTTAATTAAATCACAACTTAGTCACTATAATGTACATTTTATATTTAGATATCCCATATTTAATTATAATGTAAAATCATTGAACAATTATGTTTGGTTTACTATATATAAACTTGAAGTTGAGTTACTGTTGCATAATTATTTACATTTTGATACCCCAAATTTAATTAAATCACACCTTAGTCACTATATTGTACATTTTATATTTAGATACTCCATATTTAATTGTAATGTAAAATCATTGAACAATTATGTTTGGTATATAAATTTTATGAGATTTTCGTACCTAATACCCCAAATTTAATTAATCATAACTTAGTCACTATAATGTACAATTTATATTTTGATACCCCAAATTTCATTTTAATTTAAAATCATTGAACAATTATGTTTTGGTATCTAAATTTTATGAAATTTTCGTACCTGCAATTTTTTAAATTTACATACTGGTCTAATATTTAAATTTCACTTGAATCCATGAATCCAATCCACCAATTCTTTTGAACCAATCCATGAATCCAATCCAATATAACATAAGAGTAAAAATTTAGTCTATACAATACAAGATGTTATACCACTCAATTGTAGGAGAAGATTCGACTATTTTATATTTGCTCATAACGTGAAACATTAAATAAATGATAAAAGAGAGACGACTCTAAAATATTGCATGAGCGAACTAAACAAAATTCTACTAACTACTTGTAACAAAATATGTGACATCTACATAAGCAAGTGTCAATAAATTGTTACGGTGAAAATGATTGACTATTGTATTGACGACCAACTAAAAGAATTGATCAAAACATTCCATCATCTGCTTCCTCTTCATTTCATTTTTCACTCACCTTCCATAACCCTTTCTTTATTTCTTTCTTTGCCTTCTTCGTCTAACCATAGACCAGGAAACCGGATCGTACCGGCCGGTTCAACCGGAAATTGGACCAAAAGCGGCACGGTGGGCTGATTGTGCTGATTTTACCGTGTCGGCCGGTTTTTTCGGTTTGACCGGTTGAA